CCACAAGTCCAAAATAAATTTAGGATACATAAAGCTGAATATAAAATTAGTTTTAAACAAGCATTATTACAAGATCTAAAACAACGTAATTCAGAATACAAAATTAATTATATAGATAAAGCTTTAAATGAAATGGTAAAACTTGCTAAAAGCAATTCAGCATATAAAAAAGATGATAGAATAAGTATTGCATTATTTAATCCAAATATAAAAACTCCCATATATACTGGAATGAGATCTGACGATATCATAGTAAACTTAAAATCTATAGTTGATGGTTTATTAACTTCAAATGAAGAAATTGATATTACAGAAACTACTTTTCAAGTTCAAATAGTAAACATACCCAGAGGTTCAAATGGAAATAAAATAATAAATTTATCAGAAGATATCCATACTAAAAGAAGTATTATTAAGATTAATAATGATGATAATTTATGTTGTCCGAGAGCTATTGTTGTTGCATTATCTACTCAAACAAATAATATTTTAGATCATGAATTAGATTCTAATAAAATTAAACAATTGAAGATAGGTAGAAAAATTCAAAAAGATTTAGCTTTAGAATTATGTAATATGTTAAAAGAATATAATGAAGAAGGATTTACATTGGATGATATTCAAAATGTGGAAAAAATACTAGATATACAAATAAATATTATTTGTGCTGAAAGTTTAAATGCTTTAATTTATAAAGGTGATGATAAAGAAACTAAAATTTATTTGTATAAAAATGGTAATCATTTTGATGTTATTACAAAAATGGCAGGTTTTTATGGTTCTTCTTATTATTGTGAAAAGTGTAATAAAACATATAAAAATAAAAATGAACATGAATGTGTTAAAGATAAAAATGTACGTAAAAATGTATGTAAATTGTGTCAGAGACCTGAACATTCAAGTAGTACAGAAAATAAAATATACTGCCAAAAATGTAACAGATATTGTTATAATCAAGATTGTTTAGATGATCATTTTTTTGTGTGTATGTATGTACGTAAGTGTATTAAATGTAATAGAATATGTAAAAGATTTACTAAACTGGGCGATTTAAAAAATATACATGATTGTGAATATAGTAAATGTAGAAATTGCCAAGTATTAGTGAAAATAAATGAACAGCATCAATGTTATATGCAGCCTAGATTAGCAAAAGGAGGTAAATGCTTAGTATCATGTACAAATTGTGGAGGTACAGATAAACCATTTAAATGTACTTATACAGAAAAATATTTGTTTTTTGATTATGAAGCTCAACAAGAAACAGGAACTCATATCGCAAATAAAATAATTGCTCAAGATTTTGAAGGAAATAAAATTATGTTTGATACAAATGAAGAATTTTGTAAACATGTAATATCCAAGGATTATAAGGGATATACATTTATAGCACATTACGCAAAAGGATACGATTCACAATTTATATTAAAATACTTGGTTGATAACACTCTGAAACCATTTACAATTTATAATGGTACAAAATTAATGTTATTAGAAATTAAAAATTTAAGTATAAGAATAATAGATAGTTCTAATTTTATTCAAGGCCCTCTCAGTAGTTTTCCCAAAACGTTTGGCCTCAAAGAACTGAAAAAAGGTTACTTTCCGCATTTCTTTAATACAGTAGAAAATCAAAATTATATTGGTATGTTACCTGATAAAAAATATTATGGATTCGAAACAATGAAGCCAGAGAATAAACTAGAATTTGAAAAATGGTACAATGATAAAATTAATGAAAATTATATATTTAATTTAAAAGAAGAATTAGAGGCATACTGTACTTCAGATGTGGATATCGACCGAAGAGGTTGTTTAGAATTAAGAAAGCAATTTTTGGATATAGCTAATATTGACCCTTTTTGCTATACAACTATAGCAGGTGTTTGTATGGCTATCTATAGATCAAAATATTTGTTAGATGGTACTATAGCTGTTTTAGATAAAGAGAAAAATGAAAAATATTCAAAGCAATCTATAACATGGTTAAACCATTTTAATAATAAAAACATCTACCACGCTTTAAATGGTGGTGAAAAAAAAATAGCAGGATCTAAAGTAGATGGTTATGATGAAAAATCAAAAACAGTTTATCAATATCATGGATGTTTTTGGCACGGTTGTCCTAAATGTTATAGAGATAGAGAAACTATAAATAATATAAACCATGAAACAATGGATGACTTGTATCAAAAAACAATTGAAAGAAGTACAAAAATAAAAAAGGCAGGTTATAATCTTATTGAACAATGGGAATGTGATTGGATAAATAGTAATATATACAAAAAAATGGAAAAAGCTGATATAGCTGACCCTATTAATCCTATAGATGCTTTCTTTGGAGGTAGAACAAATGCGACAAAGCTATTAGTAAAAAATACAAAAATACGTTATATTGATGTGTGTAGTTTATATCCAACTGTACAATATTATGATTGGTATCCTGTTGGACATCCTGAAAAAATATTTAATCCAATAAAATATAAAAAAAAATGGTTTGGTTTAATCAAATGTAAAATTTTACCTCCAGGAGATCTTTATCATCCTGTACTTCCAGTTAAAATAAAAATGAAAAAAAGTGAAAAGTTATTATTTCCTTTGTGTTATAAATGTGCTGTAGATCAAAATAAAATATGTAATCATTCTCCAAATGAAAGACAATTTATAGGAACATGGACAACAGATGAAGTTAATAAAGCTTTGGAAAAAGGATATATTATAACAAAAATTTATGAAGTGTGGCATTTTGAAAAGAAATCAACAGATTTATTTAAAGATTATGTAGATAATTTTATAAAAATAAAATTAGAAAGTTCAAAACATAATTATAGCTGTAATGATGAGTATATAAAAACAATTTTCGATAAAATGGGTATTTTGTTGGATATAAATCAAATAAGTGATAATCCTGGTAGAAGAGCTGTAGCAAAATTATGTCTAGTTAGCTTATGGGGAAAATTTGGACAGCGGCAAAAAATGAAAAAAACTGAGTTTGTTACAGAACCACAACAATTCTATAAAATATTATTAGATGATAGATTAGAAAATATAAATATAAAATTATTAAATGACAATATGATACAAATGTGTTATGATTATAAAGATTATTACATTGAAAATCATCATAATACTAATATTTTTATAGCTTTATTTACCACTTCAAGTGCAAGATTAAGATTATATAGTGTGTTAGATAAATTAGATAGAGCTGTAGTTGGTTTTGATACCGATTCTGTTTTCTATATAGATAATGGTGTTAATAAAATTAAAACAGGAACAATGTTGGGCGAATGGACTGATGAATTAGGTGAAAATGTACATATAACAGATTGGGCATCTACAGGTCCTAAAAGTTATTATTATAAAACAAATGATAATAAATTTAAAACGGTTATAAAGGGTTTTACTTTAAATTATCAAAATTTATTAAAACTTAATGGGGAAGCAATGATAAAATTAATTGAAGAAAATAATAAAAATATTAATATAGAATTAGAATACAAACAAATAACACGTGATACAATTACTAAAACTTTAGTTAATAAAAATGTTACAAAAAAATTCTCATTTGATTATGATAAAAGAATAATATTACCAGATTATGATACAATACCATATGGTTACAAATTATAATCATTTAAAAACTAAATGTTTATAATTATATATTGTAAACTTATTAAATATAGAAAAAATGCATAATTTTATAATAAAGATAACAGTAATTCTTCTTCATAAAATGTACCTTCTATATCATAAATTTTATAATAAATAACATTTGATTTAATAACTTTTTTAACTGTAAATATTTCTTTAGACCAATTTGTTTTTAATTTATTTCGATACACATCGTTTATTGAAGATAATCTAACTCTATCATTTATTTCAAATTTAGGGTTAGAATTACTAATATCATAATTATAAACAGTAGAAAGTAGATCATTCTCGTTTTTCTTATTTACATCAGCAGGTTTCATTTTTATCGTTCTATGATATGTATTATTATATGCCTTAATAATCTTTGGTAATTCAGTAATCCATACATTGTTTAAATAAAGTACTTTCTTTAATTTATCACCCAATGTTCTGTTAAAACGTTCTATTATGGATGCCTTTTTATCGGTGCCTGTACTATACATTGTTATGTTATATTTATTTAGTAATTGTTTTAAATCTTTATTATAAAATTCCTTACCCTTATCTACATGTAATTTCTTAGGTACATTATGTTTAAATATTTGTGAAAATGCCTCAGATACTTCCAATCCACTTTTTGTTTTCAAAGCTACAGAATAAACTTTTTTAGAAAATGTATCAATAACATTAAGAATATATTTAAAACCATTATTAGCTTTATATAAGGCTTTATGGTTATCATTAACTTTAATTTCATTATGTTTATTTCTTAAATTATAATTGGGATCACTATTTGTAGATTTCGGTCTATAAAAACAGTACAAATCAGCCTGCCAAGTTTCATTTATACCTCTTTGTATAAAATGTCTTGTTTCAAAATGTTTTCTAGCTGGTTTAAATAATTCATAAGCTTCTATAAGTTCTGGTGGTTTTGATATATTATTCTTATTTGTATTACATATTTTACATACTGATAACCTCCTATATTTATTATTTTTTTTAATAAATTCAGGAATACCTATACTTCTAGTTTGAGATTTACAATTTTTGCAATAGTCCATTTATTTAAGATATATATATTTTATATATTTTCTCTAATTGTATTATTGATAAGATCATAAAAAAATTCTGTACCAGATACTAAACAAATATAGCAAATGGTATTGGCAGGCACATCTTCGTTGAAATCTACACGTAAGATAATACTTGTTTTAGATACAGAAACATCTGAGGGTTGCCTGCTCATATCAATTACAAAAAATGGTCTGATATCTTTAAATTCCTCTGGAGTTATATACATTAAAGATAAATCTCTATGTGCTCTATTATAAACATTCTTATAACTCATTAACATATCATAAGCAATATTAAAATAGTCCTTTTTTAAAATCTAAGTTTAATAATTCTTCTGGATACCTTATACCATTAATTTCCAACCAAATATTTTTCAAATTACAATTACTAAACTCTATTGGGTCTCTCAATTGATTATTTAATCTATCTGTCTGAAAAGCTACGATACCAAATAAAGGATTATGGACATTTCTATATAGATTTGTTATATCTTTTTGTAGTGTTTTACCAGTAATATTACTTTCAATACATTGCCATGATTTGAATCTGAATAGATATTCATTTCTCCTGGACAATAAAGTTAATTCATTTGTGACAACTCGAGTCATATTGCTCATGACCCGAGAGTCATGTGGTCGAGTAAGGTCGCCAACCACGAGCCGGGACCCCAAAAGGTCGGAGCACCGTGGATTTTTATACTTGGTAAGACCAGGAATGAGGAAATCCTAACGCTCGTGCTAAGAAAGGATAAACACAACACACTAAGTAGGTAGAAAAAAAAACATTATATTATTCATACTTCTAAGGTGGGCGCCGAGAAAGCCGCTGGCATAAAACTCGGACAAAATAAATAAAAATGACACACACAAGAACAATAACATATACCAGCCAAATATGGCAATAATAATAATAATAATAATAATAATAATTCAACCAAATATGGCAATAATAATGACAATAATAATTCAACCAAATATGGCAATAATTAATGATAATAATAATTCAATAGGGATACCGGCCACGGTGCTAAATAGGTAATAAAATATGAGTATACGAACCACCATGCTCCTGTCGTGAGTGCCGTCCGATGGCGTTACGGCGACCGCGGTGCTCTACTCTCCTAGCATTGTGCTTGTACCGGCGTAGGAAAAAGAAGTGAAGTTCATCGGCTTATTCGGCCACAAACGCACGAAAAAGACGACGGGTGACAGAGACAGTGGGAGTGGGAAGACAGAGCGAGAGCATGTGGAGACGTAAATTAATCGGCCGATATCCCTAAACACGTCATAAGTCGGCGTGGCCCAGACCATGGAGATGAAAGAGGGGAGCGTGTGTGCGTTGTCGCACCGGCATGTGTTGTCGTCGATCGGCGGACTTGGACCCACGGGACAAAGTCGGCTGTCGCACGCACACGCAACATTTGTATCACTACAGCCTAGGTGTACAGATAGTATGGTTAAACGGTCATCCAACTCTGATCGTCACAGAAACCCCCCTGTAGAAGTTGGTACCCGTGGGAACGAACTTCTACACTGAAAACAGAACATGACGTGGGTGACGTGTTTGACTATGACGATAGTGTGCGTTGGGGGACCTCGGTGACTTCAGCCGGTTGAAGTGGACCCGGTCCGGGTGTGATGTACCGACGCAAGTGTATTATATTATAGGTCCCTATAATCCGGTTTGTTTCTACGTCGGCTACCGTGTAAGCATTTGGTGACGAAACGCGCACAACAACGTATGGTCCTTGATACAGCAAAAAGAATTTGTGGATTTGCTTATCGACTGCAGAACTCAAACGATGTGTTCGTACCAATACACGATCTCCGACAACAAAATTTGTCACTCGACCCTGTTGATCATGACGTAAACTTCGTCGCTCAGCATGGGACTGCTGAACCTCACGTGCCAGAGTCATTTTTGTTTGCTGAGATAGTGCGACCCTGAGTGGAAAAGAGACTACAGCACTAAATGGGTTGTATCGTTCGAGGGTGAGAAACAGTTCTTGCGGCGTATACCCTGTAGCTTCGTGCACAGTGTTGTTCAGTACCCATTCAATGTATCCAAGGTGTCTTGGCCACTCAGCATGATCTTGATTACAGTAAGTTCGAAACATCCTCCCGAGTTCCCGCATAACTGGTTCGGCCGGGTTAGACTGAGGGTGGTATACTGAAGTCAGCGTTGGAGGTACTCCTCTCTCCCGAAGGCGGTTCTGCCAGACCTTGCTAGTGAACTGGGCGCCGTGATCTGACACTATACACCTTGGACTACCGTACGTGGCGATGTAATCGTTGATCATCCGATTCGTAACCGTGACTGCAGTGGCCTTCTTTATTGCGTACAAACGGACATATCGAGAAAAATTATCTAAGACCACAAAAACGTATCGTACGTTATTCCAACCCTGAGGAAGTGGACCGTACAAATCAACCAGAACGCGACCAAGGGGAACGTCGGCAAGGACAGACTTCAGCTCACCTTCTTGGCGTTGAGTAGACGCCTTGGTTCGTTGACATAAATCACACGCGCGTATCACTGAACGTACACGGGTCTGGAGGTGCTTGAAAAAACAGAAATCTCGAATAGCTAAAATACATTTCTTTGGCCCGACGTGCCCGAAGTGGTGATGTACTGAAACGATGAGTTCATCGATTCGATGGTTTGGGACACAGACCAACCACTGGTCGCTGCTTGCGTGGCGACGGTAGAAAAGAACACCTTCAACAAGGCAGTAGTACTGACTTTGTGGCCAGGCCTCTAGACTGTCTCCGTTAAGGAGATCTATAATCTTCTTCAATGGTGGGTCGTCTCTTTTCGAGGACAATATAGCTTGGAAACACGGTAGTTGTCGATCATGTTCTTTACGAACGCTTATAGGGGTGGTTAGTAGAATACTGGGACCACCTAGTGACCTGGATACCTCGTCATTCCGTCCTACTGGGTTTCGCGATAACGCGTCCAGAATATTATCAGGCCCGGGAATATAGGTGATCCGCAAATCAAACTGTTGCAAAAGTAGTGTCCAACGAGTAAGACGCGCATTCCTCAGACGACACTGGAAGAGAAAGGTCAACGCTTGGTGGTCCGTGAGCACCTGAACAGGATATCCCAGAATAAATACGCGGAACTTTTCACAAGCGAACACCACCGACAAGAGTTCTAACTCGGTAATGGAGTAATTCTGTTCCGCAGAGTTCAGAGTTCGGCTGGCGAACAAAATCGTTCGGCGTTCTCCGTCAGACGTAAGTTGGAACAGCTCAGCTCCCAACCCGAGTTTACTGGCATCGGTCTGCAAGTAAAATACCTGATCGAACAAGGGGTGCGAGAGGTACTGTTCGGTAAACGATTGCTTCACGCGGTCAAACATTTTGAGCTCCTCTTCTCCAAACTTCCACGGCACACCTTGCTTAATGAGATTGATCAAAGGAGCTATTAACGAGGCGTGGTGATCAGCGAACTTCCGGTAGAAATTTCAGAAACCAATGAACGACTGTAATTCTTTTTTTGTACGTGGCTTGGGAAAGCTGCGGATGGCCATGAGCTTCTCAGGGTCCATGGACATTCCGGACGAACTAATAATATGGCCCAGAAACTTGATTTGCTGTTTGACGAATTCACACTTAGTGAGCTTCAGCGTCATGCCCGACATGGCGATTTTCCGGAAAAGAATACGGAGGCGTTGGAGGTGTTCGTCGAAATTGGATGATGATACTAGTAGATCGTCGACGTATATATGTAGATCGTTCATCTTGTCTTCACAGTCTGGGAGCGACACATTAAGGACGGCTTCGAGGGCGTGACCGAACGCGGTATTAGAGATGTTCAAACCAAACGGGACGACCGTGAACTGATATGTCCGACCGTCGTAGACAAATGCTGTATATTTACGGACCTCCCGGTGTAGGGGCACTTGCCAATATCCGGCAGTAAAATCGACACTGGAGAATATGGACTTTCCACCAAAACGTGCAAGTAGTTCATCGCGATGAGTCGCGCATCGGAAGGATAACTTTGTTAATGCGGCGAGCATCCAAACACAGCCGCGCGGACCCATCGGCTTTTCCTACACAGATGATTGGGTTACTGTAAGGTGATGAACATCGTTCAACAACCCCCCAATCCAGTATCCTTTGGAGTTCCTTCTCTACCGCGGGTCGTCTGGCAAAAGGCACAGGGTATGGGCGAATCTTGAACGGTACATCTTCGGATACGGTGAAACGGCACATATAGAGCTGGTTCAGTCCAGGACGGTCACTAAAAATGTGAGTGAATTCCTGGAGAAGACGTAATAGACCTTGTTGTTGTTCGACCTTAATCTCAGCGCCATTCGCCATGAATTCGTTGAGCCGATTTGATAGTGGATCTCTGGGACATACGTGGTTGTTAATACAGTTAATTTCCAAATTCCGAGGTGGTGATGAAAATCTATCCAAACTATCCATACTAGAGAGACAATGTTCCAATCCAGTGGGCACGACGTGTTCGGTAGTATAATGGACATTTATACGGGTAATCTGGGCTGCTGGAACATCTCCATCGTCGCCCCTGAATGAATATTCTTTTCCCCATTGAGGAAATTTGATGCAGTGTCCAGAATAATCAAGAACAACTCCGTATTTCGATAGCCAGTCATCTCCAAGGATGATGGGGGTAGCAAGATGTGGGACGACGAGGAAAACACCTGGGGCGTCTTTTTCAAACAAGACCAGTGGCATGAAGACTTGCTTCGTGATTTTCTTGCTCCGCCCACGCACAGCTGTTGAGATTGTAACTCCGGTTACAGGTAAGATGGACAAAATCTTATTGGTAGGGGACCGGTTCTTGATGGTAGCAAAAAATTCTTCGGATATGGCCGAAACGGATGCTCCAGAATCGAGCAAGGCAGAACCAGACACACCACACACCTCGACGGGAATTTCCAAACGGTGTGGAACATGTCCCCGGAATTCATTTGAATTGGTGATCGGTGGATGGCAATCGGTTGTCGATCCAGTCTCGTCAGGTGCCATATTCACTGGCGAGACTGTGGTTCGTTTCCCGAAGCGTTCAGCTGATGAATCGGTTCTTCGTCTCGAGCCGGAGGACGGTGATAATTTTGGGGACCTCGATTTGGACCGTTTCGGTAGTTATTCCGATTATTATTACGTGGCTGATATCCTCTCCGCTCTTGAGGATCTCGTGGTGGTTGGTCATGGTTCCGTGCTGATTGAGTTGGGCCATGGTCTGACTGACGGGACCCTGGGGCCTCGCAGAAGGACGTGGATTCCTCAATCTCTGTCAATACGGACAATAAGGCGTTCGTCGTTTGTGGCCCCCGGCCACGGATGGCCATCCCCAACATAGACGGATAATTCTGTATGATTATGCCAACAAGATCAAATTGGTCGATGGGTGGAGATAAGTATTTAGCTTTAGCAATCCAAGTCATAGCATGAGTGTTGATCCCCACTGGTGAACGGTATTGACAGGGTTGGAAAATTTCATTCCTAATTTTTCTTTGTGTGGCCTCAGACCAAAACTGCTGGCGGAACAGCTTCTTCACCTCCTCATAGGTGGTTGGAACAGGCATAAGTGAATCAAACCATACTCGTGAACCACTGGTCAACCGCCGTTGAAAAAGTTCGACACGTTGATCATCGTGTGGACAATTATACAAGAAGTATTGGTCCAACTGGTTTAAGAACTTCTCTGGGTGCACATCCTGACGACGGCCAGTGAACTCGGACACGGCATCAGTGAACCGTTCCGATTGACTAACTGACGCAGACACAAAAGACTGGCCATACGAATTTGGTAATTGTCGAGAGTTGATATGTGCCTCCGTCGAATTGGATATCGGCTGGAATGATTGCGCTTGAGATGTAGAGTGGATCGAAAGTACCTTTAAATCGGATTGTATCTGTTTTACAGTTTCCTTAAGGGATTCGACGTCGACGTGGATCTTCGCTACACTCTCATCGGATTTCGTGTATGCAGTTCGCTGGTCGATCGAGTTGCGGTGAAGAGTGGCGATATTTTTTTCAGTTTTATCCACTCGCAACTCAACTGCATCTTGTCGTTTGGTAAAACCACTAAACTGATTTTCTAGACGGTCAAACCGTTGTGCCTGATCGCTGGCATGACCATTCATGATGGCGATAAGATCGGCGAGGGTAGGTTCAACTTTGGTAGGCTGCGGATGGACATTCCCTGTTGCCATCCCAGCTTGGGAAACCGTGGTTACGTTTTTATTCGGTGTCTCCGACATAGTAGTCGTTGGTGGCATTGGGGGCGTATCAGGCTGAAGAAGACGGTCAATTAGACGATCTGGCGGATGAGTGTCTCGCTTACCAGCGGAGTACATAAATGTAGGCACGGACAATCAAACAATCGAAACTTGAAAGAACAAAATCCGTAGAACTGAACCCCTAATCCACAATGAATTTCAACAGGAAAAAAAAACAAATAAATATTGACCTGCTAAAGTGCAGGCTTGGAAAATGCAGACGAAAATTTTAGGTCGTAAGACAAATAATGTCAGTATTACAAAAAACAAATTTACGATACTATATCAATGGAAATCGTCACCGGAACGCCGGGACGACACATAGGAACACAATAGTAGGTTGGCAAGTATACTTGAAAATCACCGTGGCGCGGTACATAGTTTTAAATATTTGAATGGAACAAAATGAAAATTAATAAAAAAAACGGTAATATAATTTATCAT